GCCTTGCCTTTTACAGAAGGCACACTGATTAGGGCCTAATTCCCATCTTCCCCCCCTTTGCAGACTGTTGCCCCTAGTCTGTAGGCCTAGCCCTGCACCTCGTGGGACATAGGCCTTCCCTCTTGTAGGGCCTGCAATGGCTGCCGCGAGTAACTCGGCCTTCCGTTGCATTTTTTGATCTTTCTTTTTATTTTCTTCTATGTCCCTATTGGCAAATACCTTGCGGGCCACTTCCATCAGCTCGCTCATGGGCTTTCCCAGGGCACCCTCAAGACGTTGCAATTTACGTCGTATGTCCAAGGCACTCTGGGAAATGAATGCCATAGTCATCATACGCGCGTTCTCAGGGGCTGAGGGGTCTATAGGGGTGTACATACGGTATGTCTCTACCAGCCGGGTGTAAAATGCTTCTGGGCTCTCAGTGGGTTCCTGCAATACTAAAGCTGGCTTTGACATATTAATCACAGGCTTTCCTGCAAGGCGAATGGCTCAGACTACAAGGGACTGGTAATCCCTCAATCGTGTTTTCCCTTCATCAGTGTAAAGATCCCAGTCTGGGTTACTAGATGGGTATTTCTCATCCATGAGATCAATTAAAGAATGATTCAGTGTAACATCAGGTTTTAATATTTCACTGATTGCATTCCTAATTTTCTCCCTTTCCTCGGGGCTGAACAATGTCCCCATGAGTTGTTGGACATCTAGCCAATTGGGATTATGGGCATCCATTATTGTTTTCACTAAGTCTGCCACTTCCATAGGTTTTTCACTGAATGGGCCGTAATGTAACTTCCAATTTAACAGGTCTGAGGAAGTGAAAGGTACATGCTGGAATAATGAGAGTGTGACTGACTCAGAGGGGTTCCTAGGGTTAATGGCCAGTTGATCTACCTGCCTCAGAGGAGCTGTTAGAGAGGTTTTTTCTGTTTTTGCTCGAGTCCTGGCAGCAACTGGCTCAGTTCCAGATGAAGTCCCCTCCCCCAGTTCCAGACTCAGAGATTGTCGGGACCTCTCAGTAGAAATAGGGTCAGGCCATTTTTCCACTGATGTAGAGGATGCCCGCTGAGGAGGGTCAGCCTGGGCTGATCGATCTGTCTTCTTTACATATGGAGACCACTGGTCCAGCTGGGCCATGAACCCAGAGACCCCTGATGATTCTTCATCTCCCCCTCCATCATCAAACCCTCCTGGTGGCACATATGGTGGGGGGTGTGGCGCTTCCTCAGGACAACTGGGTAACACCTGCGCAGTTTTGCGCAGGGTTTTCAGTGTAACCTTTCGTGACAATAGAGCCTTACACCTACGCATTTTTAGTACTCTTAACCAAGGTGGGGGGTGATTCAATAGGTCCAGCCACACGTCAATGTATGGTGCCTGATCTGGATGTCCTAGAGTAGGGTGGAAGACCAAGCGGTGCACCTGTACTGCAGTGGGGATGTCAAATGTACCTATAGTGGGCCACCCAAACCCAAATGTGGGCCACTCTGTCTCACAAAACTTTCGTAATTTTAATCTACTCCACTTATACCCGTAATCTTGTGATTGGTATGCCTCTTTGAAATGTATTAACATAACCTCCAAGGGAGTGACAGGAGTGCTTTCCTTACCACCCATAAGCCACCCTCTTAACCAGACAAGACAGTTTGAGGGAAAGGGTTGAAGAGGAGAGTAGGGGGTCTCTCCTTCTCCGGACACACCAAGGAGTCACATCCACACACACCCGACCCAAGGAGCCGGATGCACACGGTCTCCAATGGGAACTGCGGGCACCACTCGCTTTCTACTGACCCACGGTGCTGGACACTCACAGTCACCAATGGGAACTGCAGTAGTCTTTCTTCACAATCAGGTCTGACAATTCCACCCACCTTACCTTCTAAGAGAGGGTGATCAGTCCTCTCCTCCGTCCCTGCTTATAGGGAGGGATTATTTTCCCAGTGCAATACTTGCCTGCAGGCGTCTTCCTTCTTCACAGCTGGCCAGCCCCCAGTCCTGTTCCTCTCACCCTTCAGTAGTGGTTCTTGGAGGTGCTGATCGCCGATGCCAGGGAACAGAGGTCTAAGGAAGTCCCTCGGATTCAAAGGTCCGATGGCGCCTGGGATGTTCCCCACAACTCACCGATACTCTGGCAGTCGGGATGGACCCCTCCAGAGGGCCTCAGGGCCCCTAGAGTCCCGGCGGAGTCGCCATTAAATGTAGCAGCACGTCATATGTCTGAGACAGGACTCAAGACCACGGAAAAGGTGGAGGAAATCAGGTTTATTGCGCAACACGTTCAGAGCATTAGCATGACAGATTCTGAACCCCCAGCTGCATCTGGGGTGGTTTCTTTATACCCAGAATGACCTCATCATAGGTCTGGGCGTTTACCTTTAACACTTTCACAAATTACGGTCAACTGATTATACACGCATCTTAGGACAGATAAATGCAATATCCTGTGTTACGGCAGGAACACAAAAAGAGGATATGTTTTTCTTGCTTATTCTGTTATCTTACACCAACAGTAATTTTCCATCCCCATCCTTAGTTGCAAGAGAAGCAGAGCTTTACTTCCTTAAAATATAAGATCCTTATTTTCGCAACAAACAAAATACAGAAGTAAATGTGACCCTGAGTTGGTTCTAACTTATGACCTAGATTTCTATAATGTCCATATTTTATATGCCTTAATTGGTCCTGCTTCAGCAGGAGGCCATGGAGGGTGAAAACGAAGCACAAGGGACCTCAAGCGGCCTGTTTTAGTCGCCAGAAGCGCCACAGGCTGGTCTCTTGATATTTCCAGGCTGGCGCCATGGGCCAGATTTAAGCACCCTGATTCGGCCCATGGGCCTTGAGTTTGACCCCCCTGTTCTAGACCTACCACCATTCATTTAGTGATCGAAGTGACAACAAGCACTGAAAAAAATGACTTACAACTGTTTTTCACACACACGACCGGTACATGATCAAAATTGGGCAACGAAGCGTGTATTTATGATGGTGTCCGAGGGAAAGGGGTCCCTTCTGACAAGCAAAGTCAATGAGGAAGCCATGGAAAGCCCATCTTGCGGTCCAGCTCTGAGCAATTAAAACATCTCTTATCCATGCATGACTTTCTTGAAGACACCTGGCTGGCTCTAGGTGACATGGACCCCTGGCCTGGTCCAATATTAAGACTCCCTTGAGCTCCTGGTGTTCCACAAGAAATAGAAGTCAACAGCTTGTCCCAAAGGTGCTTCTTGAAGAGGCAACTGGATTTTCTGATTTTTCTTGGAAGACATGTCACTACTCATCCAAGAAGCTTCTTCAGCTTTATTCCTCCACCATTCAGTCAGAACTGAAGAAGTTTCTTGGATGAGAAGTGAAAAAATCAAGGAAAAAAATCAGAAAATCAAGTTGCGCCTTGAAAAAAAGCACCTTTGGGACAATTATGACCTGGAGGACAGAGAATCTCCATAGACAAGTCAACAGCCTCTTCTCTAAACATCACTGCCCTCTGGTGGCAACCTGGAGTTTCTCAGGACCAGAGATTGACCAAGTGCTGAAATAGTTTGAACCTTGGTTGATCGATTATGTGCCATCAAGTCATGGTTGACTCTTGGCAACCAGATGATGATGATGATGATGATGATGATGATGATCATGATGATGATGATGATGACGATGACGATGATGATGGTACCCACTCAGGTGTGTCCAATTCTTGGTGATTTTATGGGCCAGATCTTCCCATCTTGCACTGCTTCCTTGAATTGTTCTATGCTCTGGTTGGTTTCAGCTTTGATGGAATCCATCCATGGCGTTCTTTTACCGATAACTCTTGCAAATATAATAGCTTTTTCCAGTGAATTCTCCTGCAGTAACATGACCAAAGTAAGTGAGATGCAGTTTTGTGCATTTGTACCTTCCAGTGACCTATCTGAAGTTATGCACCCCAGTACTTGCTTATAAATCAACTTTGCTGTCCCATGTTAGCATCCACATGGATAGATTTTAACTCCATGTCCTTCATCTGGCCTCCATCACTGCTGTAACTCAATCCCCTGTGCTACTAGTTGTCTTCTTCTTCTCTTTCCTTCCACCTTCTCTATCATTAGAGACTTCTCCAGGGAGGGTCTTCACATCATGTGTCCAAAGCGCAGGGTCCTTGCCTTACAACCGTTTGTTTAGTGCCCTTTTGAAATTACACCATCAAAAAAAGTGACCTACGACTGCTTTCTCATTTATGACCATTACAGCATCCCCATGGTCACATGATCAAAATTCAGAAGCTTGGTCACTGACACTGATATTTATGACAGTTGATCACTGACTCACGTTTATGACGGTTGCAGTGTCCCAGAGTCACGTGATCAGAATGGAACAACTTGCCACAGCCAACTCGCTGCGCCCAACTCACTATGGCGAACGTGCAGTGGAACAATTTAACAATTACATTTAATTATTTAAACATATTTTTTTAAAAAAAGATATTATAATTTTTGCAATTTGCATTTCATTCTGTCCATCCTTTTGCATCCTTTCATTCAGTGGTGGGATTCAAAAATTTTTACTACCGGTTTTGTGGGCATGGTGTGGCTTGATGGATGCGGCAGGGGTAGGATATTCCTAAATCCCCATTCCCTCCCCACCCACTAACCTGCTTTCCAGCTCCGTTCTCCTATGCAGGGCAACAAAAGGAGACCCAGCCAATCAGCTGGGACTCGGGAGCCCTCCAACATACTCCATTTTTTTTTTTCCTTCCTGAGCCCCAGGGAAGCCTTTTGGGAGCAAAAATGCCCCCCAGGGGGCTTCCCTGGGGCCCCAGAAGGCCCAAAAAATGGGGGAGGGGGGGTTGCTGCAAAAAATCCCACACCCACCCAGTCACATGGCCACGCCTACAGAACCAGTTGTTACAAAATTTGAATCCCACCCCTGATGGAGTGCCTGTCACCTAACAAATTCACTCTCCGCCTAGCTTAAAAATAAGAAGTGGGTGGCTTATTCATTCCGTGGCTTTTTCTGCTCAGTCCCACATGATGACTTTTTCCTTGAAAGTCATTGGACCAGCCAACTTCCCTCATCTTTTCCAGGGTAAGGAAGAAAAAAAAAAAAACACCCTGGGCCTCTATTCTGCAGAACACAGGAGGACACGCTGAGGGAGTGTGGAGTCAATCCGATCAGTCCAGTCAGGAAGCAAGATTTTTTTT